GGACATGGATGCCATTGTAGCGGCCTTGCATGTGATGTATGCTGATGACTCTAGTGTGCTTCCCTCTTATTACCCCGTGTTGCCTAGTGTAGCGGTGCCTAGCGTAGACTCCCCTGCTGCGTCAGGCGTAGGATCTCCTGCTTTGCTTAGCCTTGGTGCTTCCACCGCTTCACTGCTGCCTCGCGCGACTGCTGCGCTTTCCTTCACCTTGGACTCTGGCGCCTCCCGGTGTTTCTTCCGCGACTCCACGACGCTGACGCCGCTGCCTGTTCCCGCTGCAGTTACTCTTGCTGACCCCTCCGGTGGTCCCGTCGTTGCCCGCAGTTCCACCTCCCTTCCCTGTCCGGCGGTTCCTTCGGGCACTCTCACAGGTCTGCATATCCCCTCGTTCTCCAGGAACCTAGTTGGTGTCGGCTGCCTCCAGGACCTTGGCGTCACCACTACGTTCCCTGGTCACGAGCGGTATGCTGTCTGTACCGAGGCCGCCACTGGTGCCCCCCTGTCCACGTTCCCCCGGGACCCAGTGTCCGGCCTGTTCACTCTGGACACCGTGACCCCCCCGGCTGGAGCGCTCCCTCAGGTGGCTGCGTCTACCCAGGTTGCTGCTGCCTGCTCCTGTCGGTCCCTCACTCACCCGACTCTCCTTTGGCACCATCGCCTAGGTCACCCTGCGCTCCCGCGTCTGCGTCACATGTCCCAGCACGGTCTCGTCCTTGGTCTCCCCGGTTCGTTCCCCGAGTTTCCCTCCTCCCCCGCCCCACCGTGCACGCCTTGTGTCGAGGGCCGGCTCCGCCGTGCCCCTCACTCCTCCTCTTTTCCCCCTACCACCGCACCACTGCAGACTCTGCACATGGACGTCTGGGGCCCAGCCCCGGTCCATGGGCCGCGTCGCGAGCGCTTCTTCCTAGTGCTTGTCGACGACTTCACGCGCTACACCACCGTCTTCCCCCTGGAGCGGAAGGCCGACGTGCCTGACGTTCTCATCCCCTGGCTTGTCTCTGCTCGTGTCCACCGCGGTCTCCCTGCCTTGCGCCTTCACTCCGACCGGGGTGGCGAGTTTGCCTCAGGTGTCCTTGGTCGCTTCTGTCGTGCGGAGGGCATCACCCAGACGTTTACCCTGCCGGACTCCCCGCAGCAGAATGGGGTCGCTGAGCGACGCATCGGTTTGGTCATGGAGGTGGCTCGCACCTCCATGATCCACGCCGGTGCACCCCATTTTCTGTGGCCGTTCGCCGTGCGCTACGCCGCTCACCAGCTTAACCTGTGGCCGCACCCCCAGCGGCCGCAGGTTTCGCCGACCCTTCTGTGGACCGGGTCCCCTGGTGACGCGTCTGCGTTCCGCGTCTGGGGCTGCCTTGCTCACGTTCGTGCCTCTGGCACGGACAAGCTCACTGCCCGCACCCTCCCCTGCGTCTTCCTCGGTTTCCCCCTTGACGCGTCCGACTGGCACTTCTACCACCCGCCGTCTCACCGCTTCTTTCACTCTCGCGACGTCACCTTTGACGAGTCCGTCTCCTTCTACCGCCGCTTTCCCCACCGTGGTCCCCCGGTTACTCCCCCCCTTTTCCTGGTTCCTCCCTCCCTGGTGGTCCCTGCCCCTCCCCCCCCCCCGCCCCCCCGTCCGGCCCCCTCTGGTGTGTCTCACGTCACCCCCCTCCCGTCGGTCGTCCCGGTCGACGAGTCTTCTGACTCTGGTAGTCCTCCGGCGCAGTCCTCGCCGTCTGTCCCTCCCCCGGTGTCTCCTCCTCCACCGCCTCCGCAGCCGCCGTCGCCGCAGCTGCTGCAGCCGTCGTCTCCACCGCCGCCGCCGTTGCAGCCGTCGTCTCCGCCGCCGCCGCCGTCGCAGCCGTCGCTGCAGCCGCCGCCGCCGCCGCCGCTGTCGTCGCTGCCGCCGTTTGTGGACTCTGGGGGTGTCCCTTCTGGGGGTGCAGGTGTGGAGGGTTCGGGAGGTAGCCGTCGCGCAGCTTGTGGCCCTGGTGTTGGTGTTGTGTCGCCGCAGCAGCAGTCCCCGCCTGTGTCCGCCCTCCGTCTGCTCGGCCTTCCGTCTCCTGACCCTGCGCCTGTTCCTCTCCTGCCGTCTCCCCCTCTTCCCGTCTACGGCCCCGTGTTCCCTCTGCCAGACTCGTCCCCGGCTCGTCTTCCCCCTCGTTCCCCTCCTGTGTCCCCTCCTCTGTCTCCTGACCCGACGCCGCCCTCACACGTCTGGTCTCGCCGCCCCTCTCGTGCTCGTCCTGTCTCCCCTGTCCCGCGCTCTCACCCTATGTTGCTCCGTTCCCACGCGTCTCGACCTCCCCTCCTCCCGTCTCCTCCTCCGTCTTCTCTTGTCGTTGCGTCTCCTCCTCTGTCCGACTCCTTTCGTGCCGCTCGTCCTCTTGTTCCTCGGGTCCTTGCCTCTCTCGTTACCGACCCGTCTGTTCCCGTGTCGAGTCTTGACGCCCTCGTCGCTGCGGTCGCTGACTTCGCCTCTACCCGCCGCCTTGACTACGCCACCGCTCTGGTCTCTCACCCTGCCTGTCCTCCGTCTGTCGGGGGTGCTCCTGCCCTCGGCAGTGACGTCCTGGAGGACCGCCAGTTTGAGCTTGCTTTCCTGTCCGAGGCTGCTCCCCATCTCTGTTCCATGCTGCTAGTCCCTGAGGGTGACCCAGACGCTTTCGACATCCCGACCCCTCGTACTTACGCTGAGGCGGTTTCGGGACCCTGGGCCTCTCAGTGGATAGCTGCCATGGAGCAGGAGATGGCATCTTGGAGATCCACCGGCACCTTCGTCGACGCAGTTCCCCCACCTGGGGTGAACGTGGTCGATGGCCGTTGGCTCTTCAAGGTGAAGCGCCCTCTTGGAGAGCCGCCTGTGTTCAAGGCGCGCTACGTGGCTAGAGGCTTCAGTCAGCGCGAGGGGGTGGACTTCTTTCAGACTTTCGCTCCTACCCCGAAGATGACTACTCTTCGGGTGCTGCTAGACGTAGCGGCTCAGCGTGACTACGAGCTTCACTCCCTCGACTTCTCCACTGCCTTTCTTCAGGGCAGCCTTCACGAGCAGGTCTACCTGCGTCGCCCTCAGGGCTTTACTGGCACCTTCCCCCCTGGGACCCAGTGGCTTCTGCGGCGGCCAGTCTACGGCCTGCGCCAGGCGCCTCGTGAGTGGCACGACACTTTGCGTGCTACCCTTGCTGACCTGCCGTTCTTTCCGTCCTCTGCAGACCCCTCGCTCTTCGTTCGTGCTGGCTCGACTCCGTTCTACATCCTCGTCTACGTAGACGACCTGGTCTTTGCCACTGCTGACAGGGACGCACTGGCCTCCGTGAAGGCAGAGCTGCTGAAGAGACACACCTGCACTGACCTTGGAGAGCTGCGCCGTTACCTTGGCTTGCAGATCTCCAGGGACAGAGCCGCGCGCACCATCACCCTGACTCAGTCACACTTGGTGCGCCAGGTCCTTCAGAGGTTCGGCCTTCAGTTCTCCTCCGCACAGCCCACCCCTCTTCCTCTGGACCACAGACTCTCCGCTCCAGTTCCTGAGGAGTCGGTAGATCCCAGTGGTCCTTACGCTGAGCTAGTGGGTTGCCTCATGTACCTGATGACTTGCACTCGCCCAGATCTCGCATACCCTCTCAGCATCCTGGCTCGTTTCGTGGCCACAGGCAGACACCGACCTCAGCACTGGTCTGCCGCTAAGAGGGTTTTGCGTTATCTTGCAAGTACATCGGGCATGGGGTTAGTGCTAGGCGGACGCAGGCCAGTGGTCCTTACTGGACACACAGACGCTTCTTGGGCAGACGACGCCGAGACGCTCAGGTCTTCCCAGGGCTACTGCTTTAGCCTTGGCTCAGGTGCTGTCTCGTGGAGAGCTACCCGCTCCTCGTCTGTTGCCCAGTCCAGCTGTGAGGCTGAGATCTACGCCGGTGCCATGGCGGCACAGGAGCTCCGCTGGCTGACCTTCTTGCTCACTGACTTAGGTGAGCGGCCTAGCTCTGCCCCGGTCCTGTACGCTGACAACAGGGCCATGATCCTCCTGTGTCAGGAGCCTCGACTCGAGGGCAGAGCGAAGCACATCCAGCTGCGGTACTTCCTCCTGCGTGAGCTACAGCAGCGTCGCCAGGCTCGCGTAGTACACTTAGCCTCCGGTGCCAACACAGCTGATATCTTTACGAAGGCGCTTGCGCCTAAAGATCATCAGCGGCACTGTGTACAGCTTGGTCTGGTTCCTGTAGTCTCTCACTTACTCGGGCCTTGACTTTGTACTGCCCTATATATATCTGTGTGTACACTCAGACTGGACTTGTGTCCTCTTACAGTGGTTGGACTAGTAGTGCCGCCCTGTACTAGTTCTTGCCTTGCCTGTACTCCTTCTGACTGGTCTTTTAGACCCTTGTCTCAGAGGCTGGACTAGTAGTGCCACCCTGAGCTGCTTGTCTAGAACATTCCCCTATGCAGTCCAGGGGGTGTGTCAAACATGTTTAGTTATCATGCTTGTATAGACTGTATAGGGTCATCTTCTAGAGAGTACAACTGTTAGGTATATGTTTGTGTACTCTCTCTCTCTATTCATCAATTTCACTGTTTGATAGTTTCATGTCGCGAATTCGTAATTTGTCGTAGATCGTCCGATCTGCAAGCAGGCAGTGCGATGGCTGAGATTGCATTTCGATTGATTGGGGGAAGCACTTTACTTGCACGCCGTTAGATGGAAATCGACAAATATTGGACGGCTAAAAAACGCGAGGCACTTGGTGTCCCAAAATACGTTCCGCGCTGAACTTGAAAGCCAGCCCCGAGTGACGCGAGTCACGTTACCCCCATCTACACCCACGAAAACGCGACTTTCAAACGCAGTGCGTTTGAAGGTCGCGCCTCGCAATTTGGGCCGCGGGCTTTAAGGCTGGAAAATCAGCTTTCCAGATGAGGGGGAGGCTGCAAAATCAGCCTTGATCCAAAGGGCAAGGATGATGAATCAGCGTGCCCCACAATGAATCTTTGGACCTGATTTCAATAAAACTTCAGGAATACGGGAACATCTCGCTGCATTTTACATTAACTTTGGCAAGGTGATTGCTATTGTACTCTTCTACATCAGGAAGTATACATTTCCTCCTATCTTAACACCTACAAAGCTGTACGAAGAGAGGCTTGTACTCATTCCCCAAAATCACTAGACGATTCAAACGCTCCCTCAACTGGCACATGCATTCTGACCTTCATTTTGCAAGACTTGTGTATCACTGCTGCGTGTATCAGTACAACCTACCCCGACAGTCACCAGCACCACAGCAACACTTCATATGCTTGACCTTCCCACTTTCGTCCATCACACTCCCAATCTCGTAGTTGTAGTCGTAGGTCAGTTCCTGCATCCATGGCAGCGTAGAGAGGCAAGAACAAAGTCAAGGGATATCAAGGGATGTCAAGGGATGTCAAGGGATGTCAAGGGATGTCAAGGGATGTCAAGGGATGTCAAGGGATGTCAAGGGATGTCAAGGGATGTCAAGGGATGTCAAGGGATGTCAAGGGATGTCAAGGGATGTCAAGGGATATCAAGGGATGTCAAGGGATGTCAAGGGATGTCAAGGGATGTCAAGGGATGTCAAGGGATGTCAAGGGATGTCAGGAACCAAACAGGTCGTCAAACTTACCAGCTCCGTGCAAGTATCTTCCATGGCATATTTGTACAAACCCTAATCACACCAGACTCGCAGTATTGTGGGGTGCAAGTGTCGAAATTGCGCTGCAATGCAGTTAGGTCCTGTACAACGCGAATTAAGTCTGGTCTGACACCCTTAGACAAATTAAGGATGGAGCCAATCAACATGCACTACGTAACACGGTGTGGGTGGTTTGAGGCTGCTTCAGTGACAAGCACATATGAGAAGAGAGGGGAGAGAAGAGAAGAGTGCGAAGAGAGGGGAGAGAAGAGAAGAGTGCGAACGGGAGGAGGGGAATACAGAAGTGAGGGGAGAGAATGAGAGGAAGGGGGGAATAGAGCTGAGATTTCTTACAGTGAGTGGAGGAATATTCTCCGACGCAACGAGCAGGAGGTGGGAGAGCTCGGGGTGCTTGTGGTCCCAGAGGGCGGACTGGTAGAAGAGGTTGGGCGAGCAGCTGTGGTTGATGAAGCGCGCCACGTTGCCGTGCTTGTGCCCGTCGATGGCGTAGTGCACCTCCTCATGCTCGCCCTCCTCGCCTGCCTTTCTTCGCTTTGCCCCTTTGGCGCCCAGCTTTGCCGTGGCCTGCTCCTCCAGGAGATGCTCCAAGTCCTCAAACATGGGCTGGCGAAAACAGACAAAAAACACCAGGAATCAAGCACAGCAAACTTGCTTGAAGAGCTATGGAGCAACAGGCAAAACATAGTCTATGACAACAAAAGCAAAAGAGACAAAAGTGGGTATGTCAATGACAATTATCTAAGCTGTGGGGTTGAAACGCTTACAAAACGAGACTCGGTGAGGCTGTCCTGGGAATGCGTACCGCAAATCCCATTTTTCAAAGCCCGTCCCTATTTGCGAGCCCGTCCCTATTTGCGAGCCCGTCCCTATTTGCGAGCCCGTCCCTATTTGCGAGCCCGTCCCTATTTGCGAGCCACGGTCAAGGGAGGTTTGGGCTCAGCCTTACGTGATGAACATACACTCCGAGAGAAATTTGGAGCAACAGCCAGCGTAAAAAAGGGTGCCGTGTAGCAATCACAAATCACCCACAAGTTCGGTTTCCCTTTTCTAGCGCAACCAGAGGTTCAGCAGTGGTGGCTTAGGTGCTTTTGCGAAACCCATTCTTTCACTGAATTGGGAGTGACATCATCCCCCAATCACCATTCACATAACTCTCATCTACCGCCCTTCAACCCTCTGAGACTTGGAGAGGACCAGCACCTTGGGGCTCGGGCTTTAATTTTTTCGTAAACAATTGAACTGCAAATTTTGGGACTGCAAATGCGAACTGCAAATTTTGCCACTGTGCTTTGCCATGAGATGTTAGTCCTCCCATGCAGAGTTCAATTCTGTGCACGTTTTCAGCACCCACTCACCCTAAAAACCTAGTTCCCCCAATTCCGATTCCCCTCTGCCCCCTGAAATTTCATATCGCCTGTCCCCGTAACCCAATAATTTACTCAGACCTTCCTGGTCACTTTAGACTTCGTCCTCGAAGCAATTTCGATCGTAGCCACCCTCCCTCACACGCCCACCCACAGTACTGTTTTTGAAAAGCGCGGATTCAGCAAAGCCACAACCAATCACGCTGCCCTGTTTTCTCCAGGTTAACTCACCAAAACTGCTGGCGCCCCAATCAATATTAATGTCAGACATTGGTATTTTGCCTCTACCTATCTCGTGAGACTTGGGGTCCGGCTTCTCAAGAACTCGTGGAAAGTTCTGATGTGCACCGGATCCGACCTCGCCTGAAAGGCGTGCAATTGGTTGATCAGCTAAAAGAATCAAGAAAAATGCAGAGCCATCACTATTGATCCTCCAGTGACGTTGGTGGTTGACCAAGATTGTTGAGCGTCCAACAATGTCGGTTAGCCGCTTCGCGGCGATAATGAGGCTTGCTCGCATGAGGTTCAGTTGTGTGGACCACGGTTCAACATTTCTTTACTGTACAAGTGTGTGGGTTGGGAGCAGCACAACCAGCAACCTTGTCCACATCACCAGTTGCATGTTGGTTGGCCAGCACAACCACAGCTCCCTGATGGATCTGACGCCCTTTCAATGAATCTCCGACGCAATCCCAGTGCCCCTTTCCAGCACTCCCCTCTTGGGAACTTCCTCATGAATGCGCTACCATGCTTGGTTGACTTCCCGTTCCAGGCTTGTATCCGCTTGTTTTGAGGTTGCTAGCGATTTGACAGCTGCTTGAGATCATGTTTGGCTTGTGGTTCTTAATCTCTTCCCTACTGACTTGTGACCGCGTGACATTTGCTTGCACGCTTGCAAGCGTAGACATTGCCGGACGTGTGATCCATGCCATGTCTCTTGGCTTGACTTTTGCATTGCATGCTAGCTTTGGCCCTCACGTGTGCTAGAACACCTCTTTGCTATTACTCTGCATAGATTAGCAATTTTAGGTAGTTATAGCCAACAAAGCATATCTTTGGTGTATACTAGGAGAAAACACCCTAGTTGGGGTTAGGTTTTCAGAAGAGTCAGGTTCCCTCCTTGACCAGTATTCGCCTCCAAGAGTTGGGTCCTCAATTCCTAGGACTCCCATGGTCCTGGCCAAGACCTATGGGATCCTCGATTACCTTGGCCATGACTTTTGAACCTACCAATAATTTGGCCAACCAAACTTATTGTGGGAGCCTATAATGTTGACATAGGACCCAACTGAAAGAACTAAACTTCGGGGAAAAAAAAAGATAATTAGGAAGGAAGCCAAGAGGCTCTATACTACAGGCAAGGAGCTAACAAAAGGTTGGAAGGAAGTAGAGATGGGTATATCGCATCGCATCGCAAAATATCGCATCGTTTTTTATCGCATTTTGCGATTGCGAAAAAAAAAAAAAAATCGCAGCGAGGCGATGCGATTTAATCGCGCGACTGTTTTGGTATCGTGCTTATATCACGCATTTTTTAGCGCGGTATAATGTGATATGCGATTTGAAAAGATCGCGCGATACTTCTGCGCATCGCATCGCGGAATTTTGCCAGCAAGAGGGGGGGACATGAGCGAGGGCCCTGAACTTAGAGAAAATAGAAAAGGGTAAGCTAAATGCTAGGTTTCTCTTGCTTAAATGGCGGGCAGAAATGGCAAGCCGCAGTCTCGGGTTGCCGTGATTGATGGGGAGGTGTTTTTGTGAGGAGCTTGGAGCACATTAGAGGAAGGGTTGGGAATTCTAGATGGGAAGGATTGCAGTGCGGTTGAGGGAGGGGAGTTGGGTGGAGGTTCAAATTTGTTATGGGTGGTGGTGGGCGGTGGGCGAGTGGGTTTTCTGAATGGGATGTGGTGGTGCGCGGTTGAAAGGATTTAGGGGGTTGGACTGAAATTTCGACCCCCAAAGTCAGTTGGTTGGAACTCCAACCAGTTTCCGCCACTTCAATCGCACTAAACTCCCCTGCATCTGCGTCAACTCCCGCGGCTCTAACATGCTCCACATGAGAGAGGGACCACAATATCCCCATCTCCCGTCAATTTTCACTTACCTAATTCCGCGCGTAACTAGGAGAGCCGCCATTGCCTTGCCATGTGGTGTGGGGAAACATTTTTTAAAGCAGGAAAACAGTGGCCCCTAAATATCGCATAGCGCGATATATCGTTTTTTTTTTTTTTTTTTTTTTTTTTTTTTTTTTTTTCCGATGTTTTTAAATATCGCACCCTAAACGCGATATGCGATTTCGGTTTTTTTTCTTCTCATATCGCAGCGATGCGATGTCGCATTGCTGCAATATAATGCGCGATAAGACAGAATGCGATGCGATATCGCTTCGCATTTTGACCATGTTTAGTTGGAAGGGAAGCTACTCCCATTGGCTACAATTGTGGTTAATGAGAGAGATTGGTTGGAGGGGAAGCAACCCCAAAGTGTGGTAGTTGCTGGTTGGTTGGACCTTGGGACCGTTTGGTTAGAAAAAGCCAACCAGAAGACCACGACCAAATCCAAACTTGACCAACCCAAAGTGTGTTTGGTGAACGCAACCAACAACCCCCGGATAAGTTAAATCACTACACCCCCCTATTCTAGCTTATGGATGTTGTCTATATAAATATATTACAACATCCAACCTATAACGTTGACATAGGACCCAACCATCCCAAGCCTTGCTCTTTCTCAAATCCACTTAACAGAATCTCGCAACCAAACATGGTTATAAGAGCTTACAGCTCATGCCTCACCTACATCCTAAGGCTTTCCTCTCCCACGGCCAAATCATTTGCGCACCCTCCGCACTCTAGTTTCCCATCAGGTCCCTCACGGATTTTCCTCGCCCACCCTCTCCCTTTTCTCCGTTTCTCGCGCCATCCGCGTGCTGTCCCGGTGGCGCCACCAGCAGCCGTCCAACCGCCATCCGCCTGCAACCCGCACGGCACCCAGCGCCATCCCACTGCTGTCTCCGCGCTGTCTGCAATCACCTAAGCATGGAGATTATCCAACATTGCAAGATCAGGATCATCTCCCTCTCTTAAGACGTTTACTTAAAAGGATCTTGGAGCGCTTCAAGATGTCCAGGGCCAAGCCAATCTTCACCCCCCTTCGTGTCGGGCACCAGCAATCTCCACCCTCCACCCCTTCCTCTTCCTTTGATCCCTACGCCAAGCTCGTCGAGTCCTTGTTGTATGGGATACTTTGCACATGTTCCGACCTTGCCTACCCCATGGGTGCTTCGTCGGCGCTTCGTGGACTCACTCCTAGCCTGACCAATGCAACCCCGTAGGGGTATGGCTTCCTCCTCGGCAGCGGCCTCATTAGTTGGCGCCCCACTTGCTCCTCCTCCATCCCTTTCTCCTCCAGTGAAACAGATTTGTACGCCGCCATCATGGCTGCCCAGGTTGCGCGCTCGCTTAGGCGCCCCCTCCATCCTTCTCAGTGGTCTGCGCGCCCCCCAACTGTGTCCTACCATTTGGTGCGAAAAAGCCAGCACCATCCACTGCATAAAAAAACCAGTTTTGACATCCACGCACATCAAGCTCCGCCACTACTTTATCTGCGAACTCGTCCAGGCCTCGAAATTATTGTCCGCAAGATCGACCCATCTGCCAAGCTTGTGGACATCTTCACCAAGGTCCTCCTTCGCCACATCCATACTGCTCTTCTCCACCTCCTTGGCCTTGCTCCTCACTCCTCTTCCTCCAAAGGTGGCTGATTCTAGGGTTGTCCCCCTAGGCCGGCCAAGACTTCAAGCTCTATCCAGGTAATGGGTTCTGTTAAAATATTCCCTCCTATTCTATCATCCAGCATAGATGAGCATTTTTAAGTAGTTTTAGCTAACCTAGCATTTGTTGGGTGTACACCAGGTTTAACCACCCTAGTTGGGATTGGGTTCTACTAACTTCCTCGGCCATTATTGGCATCAAGGAATGGCCACCCCAACTTACTGGTGGAGGCATAGGTCCCCACTAGACATGGTTAAAACTAGGGTTGAGCAAACTACCCGCCCGGGTCGGGTACCCGGTACCCGGACCCGCTTTTAGGGCGGGTCGGGTATCGGAAATCCTGAAAATTACCCGGCGGGTCGGGTCCGGGTTACCCGGGCCGGGTATCAATACCCGCTACCCGAAATGCTACCCGACGTGTCGAGTAACGGGTACCCGACCCGGTCGGGTAAAATATACCCGAGGTCGGGTATTCCACCTAGACATGGGCGTAAGTCGCGCTGTGTTTTAGGTTTTGCAGCAAAACGGTTTTGGAGGTGAGGGGAGACGAGTGGAGCATTTGTGAGGAGAAGTTGGAGTTTGTAGATGGGGAGGAGTTAAGTGCGGTGAAAGGGAGGGAGTTGGGTGGGAGTTGGAGAAGAGGTTGGAGTTCGTAGATGGGTAGGAGTTCAGTGCGGTGAAAGGGAGGGAGTTTTGTTGGAAATGTTGGAGTTTGTAGACAGGGAGGAGTTCAGTGCGGTGAAAGGGAGGGAGTTTGGTTGGAAATTGGAGTTTGTAGACGGGGAGGAGTTCAGTGCGGTGAAAGGGAGGGAGTTGGGTGGTCAAAATTCGACCCCCAGAAAACGCGACTCTCATTTGAGAGTCGTGTTTTCAGGAACCCTACCTAGCCTAGCCCAACTTTAGGATGTCCACTAGTAGGTGGCGGGTAGTATTACCCGCTTTTCAGGGTAACCGGGTCGGGTATACCCGGACCCGCCAGGCGGGTATTGTATTACCCGGCCCCTAAGGCCGGGTCCTGGGCATATTACCCGACCCGGACCCGACCCGGACCCGACCCGAAATTACCCGACCCGAGGTCGGGTATTGCAAAATCGGGTCGGGTCGGGTAATTACCCGGTTTTGCTCAAGCCTAGTTAAAACACGATGCAATATAATATCGCATCGCACTCGCTGCGATCACGATATATATCGCACGATATTACATCCTATCGCTGCGATATTTATTATTTGAAAAAGGATGTCGCATATCGCTTTTAGGTACGATATAGAAATTTGTTGAAAAAGCGATATATCGTGCGATGCGGTATAATATCGCACCGCATTTAGGAGCCATTGTTTTCCCCCGTAAAAAAAGGTTTCCCCACACCACATGGCACAACAATGGCTGCTCTCCTAGGTTCGCGCTCAATTAGGTAAGTGAAAATTGGTGGGAGATGGGGATATCGTGGTCCCTCTCTCATGTGGAGCGTGTTAGAGGGGCGGGGGTTGGATTCTGTAGATGCAGGGGAGTTTAGTGCAGTTGAAGTGGTGGAAATTGGTTGGAGTTCCAACCAATTGACTTTGGGGGTCGAAATTTCAGTCCAACCCCCTAATCCCTTCAACCGCACACCACCACATTCCATCCAGAAAACCCACTCGCCCACCGGCCATCACCCATAACAAATTTGAACCTCCACCCAACTCCCCTCCCTCAACCGCACTGCACTTTTTCCCATCCAGACTTTCCAACCCTTCCTCTAGTGTGCTCCAAGCTCCTCACAAAAACACCTCCCCATCAATTACGCCAACCCCAAGCTGTCGTTTCCCATTTCCGCACGCCAATTCAGCAAGAGAAACCTAGCATTTTGCTTACCCTTTCTATTTTCGCTAAGTTCAGGGCCCGCGCCCATGTTCCTTCCCCCCCCCTTGCTGGTGAAATTCCACAACGCGATACGCGAAAATATCGCATGCGATATAAAAGTATCGCATATCGCATTATATCGCACCCAAAAACCTGGGATAAAAACGCGATATGAGTTTATTGCACGATAAAATCGCATCACATTGGGCGATATAATTCTGGAAAAAAACAATATCGCTATTGCATTTTTGCGATATATGCGATGCGATGCGATATAACCATCTCTAGTCCTCACCAACCCGCCTCTACTCTACCGACTATGTAAGCCCGCCCTTTCTCTAATCCAACCATCGCTTGAATGTCAACTAGCCCCACATATGGCATTCTTGCACTTTAACAATGGTTGTTGTAATCGTACGCTTGCATGTTCCACTCCACCCTGTGCAATAAGAGTGGTTCGTAATGGCATTGTGGCTATTACAAACTCCCGCTTCACAATGCATCATAGTGGGTACGTGTGGATACAAGGGCACAGGGGCTGGCGGTTGTGAAAGTGAGGGCTGTGGACTACGATGGCCTGTGTGCCGGGTTGGGGGAACGCGTGTGTGCAAAGTTGGGAGGAGGGGTGGGTGGGTTGGGTGATGCCGGGAGGGCGACAAGCAACCGCTGACTAATCTGCCATCGAAAGTGGGGGGGAGAGGGGGGTTGAGGCTCAAGATGGGCCCCGCACCAACCTGTCCTCTTCAAATGGTCCACATGCCAGGGTGGGGGCTGGCCTGGCCCGTCCTTTTTCATGGGCGAGCCGCCCCCGTCCCGGCCCGGGCTGACTTGAGCCCGTCCCTTGACCATGTCTCGCTTACGGTTCGGCCGCTAATGATACGTACATCTCTGCCTTGCGTGCCAAGCTTGGCAGTGCGCACAGTGTCGATGCTGAGCACGTAGGTGTCGTTGTCCACATGGTTGACCTGCTCGTACGGCAGCACCTCGCCCACGTACTCGCACACCACCGCGCCCGCTGGGATGAAGTCCCATGACCGCACCGCCCAGCCCTTATGAGAGGTCTTGTACACCTGCAGCCATGGGCAATACGAGTTGTGCAAAAGGGAAGTCGAAAACACAGACACACATGGTACGACATGATCCTGGTCACTGATGATGGTGGTGTGAACCACATCACGCACGAGTTGCAGTCACACCTCTCTCGCAAGGATTTCGGCAAGCTGCAGTCCATCACCTCAATCGCCCGATCACTTTCCCATAGGCCTCCCACATTGGGAAGGTAATTGAGCATCTAAAGAACCATGCCCGTCCCATCTTTAAACCCTAGCTAGTCCCCCGGCCTCATTTTCCTCCGCCCCCTATTATGCTTGTCAGCTCCCTCATGTGCATCATGCTCGTCCTTTCAGTATTAATAGCTTGTCGCCTCCCGCATGTGCGTCATCATGTGCACTAGTTCGACTTGGCATACCCCATCATAGTGCTACCTCGCTTGTCCGGATTGGCTGAGCATTGGCAGGTGGCTAAGTGCGTCCTTCACCACCTGTGTGGTACCAATGGCAATACTCCCTTTGCTGACACCTCTCTTGCTGTTCCGAAAATAATAACATAACCAACGCTAGCTCTCATCTCAACCAGCGCTCCGCACATGGCTACTAGTCAACACATGGCATGGCAGCGACCTTATAAGCTAGCATTCCACCCGCTGTACGGCCATCGATGTGTCCACATGTGAGACAACACTCCATGCAACAACCATGGCAAACTCAAAAAGCCCGATGGATGTGGTTCTTCCTTGGCAAGCTGTGACTTTATGCTAGCACTATCAATCTCTTCAAGGACACAATCCTCCACTTGCGCTCCAAACACATCGAGCTTCGCTGATTCTTCCACCAGGAGTATGTCGAGCATGATCATCTGGTGGTGGAAAAGATCGCTGCAGCTGGCAACCTAACCGACAGTCCCACCAATGCTCAGTACGCTCTCCTCCTCCTCTTGGGCATCGACCCTTCTTCGTGCACCTGGATATTGGGGTCATATGCCTTCATCCACCCACACATGCTACAGGCTACAGCTTCGCGCATGCTACAAATTGCGTATGTAGGGTGCACTATCACTTTAGTTACGGCCAACGCTGTAGTATAACGTTGGGTGAGTTCATCATATAAGTGGAAAACAACCCAAGTGTTGGCAGGCCAACGCTGTAGTATAACGTTGGGTGAGTTCATCATATGAGTGGAAAACAACCCAACTAAGTGTGAGAAACTCAAGTGATGATTGTATTAGGAAAAGAGTGGGTATACATAGGTGAGGAGTAGGAGGGAGGGGGGGGTTTTGGTTGGGAGGTGACCACGATTATTGGTGACCCCAATAAGTTGAGTTGGCCAACTTATTGGGGGTCCAATGATCCTAGCCAAGATTATTGGTGGGTCCAATAATCTTGGTTGGGATTATTGGGGGTTCCAATAATTGGGAGCCCAACGAATTTGGGAACCCAACAAGGTTGAGAACCCAACCCCCAACTTGGGTGTATACACCCTAGTGGGGTGCTTATAAGTACCTAAGACAATGAAACGATGTAGGCTAATAGAATGAAGGGAGAATATTCTAACACAACCCCTTAGCCTACAGAGTGCCATAAGTCTTGGGAAGGTGAGGGGAAGCAACCCCTGAATCAGGTAGTCCCCTGTGAGGGAGGGGCAAGACCCAGAAGGCGAAGGAGAGCCGCATGGGGACGACGAGGGAGGGCCTTGGTGAAGATGTCTGCAAGGTTGGCTGAAGAGTCAATCTTGCGCACGGTGAGGTGTCCAGCCTGGACGAGCTCACCAACGAAGTAGTGTCGGAGCTCGATGTATTTGGAGCGACCATGGAAAACGGCTTCCTTTGTGAGGTGGATAGTACTGGCATTGTCGCACCAGATGGTGGGATAGGGCTGGGGAGCATCCAGCTCAGCGAGGAGGAAGCTGAGCCACCGCGCCTCCTGGGCTGCCATGGTGACAGCGTAGAGCTCTGCTTCGAAGAAGGAGAGAGCGATCGAGGAGGAGCGGGTGGAGCGCCAGGAAATGAGGCCGCTCCCGAGGGAGAAACCATACCCCTGTGAGCTGCGACGATCGGGCTGAGAATCCGCCCAAGAGGAGTCGCTATAGCCAGTGAGCTGAGGGGGGGTGGGGCCACCCAAGGTGAGGACATAGTCCTTGGTGCCTTTGATGTAGCGGAGAACGCGCTTGGCTGCTTGCCAGTGCTCGGGAGTGTGTTTGCCAGCGCCGACAAAGCGCGCCAGGACACTGATAGGGTAGGCGAGGTCGGGGCGAGTGCACATCATGGCGTACATCAGGGACCCGACCAGCTCAGCGTAAGTACTGGAGGAGGAACCGTGGGTGGATGTCGGCGAGAGCTGGTGGCCGACTTGGAGGGGTGTGGAGACGGGTTTGGCCGTGGCCATCTCGAAGCGTTCAAGGACCTTCTCGAGGTAGAATGCCTGAGAGAGGGAGATGGTCCTGGCCGTGCGATCGCGAGAAATCTCCATCCCGAGGTAGTTGCGGACCTCCCCCAGGTCCTTGCAGAGGAGGCGGTTCTGCAGCTCATCCTTGACCTGTTGTAGGTCTGCTTCGTTGTCAGCGGCAAGAAGCATGTCGTCGACGTAGACGAGGATGTAGAAGGGGGAGGGGGAGGTGCGCAGGAAGAGGCAGGAGGAAGCCTGGGAAGGGCGAAAACCAAGAGCACGGAGAGTGCTCGAGAGCCTGGCATGCCATTCCCGAGGAGCTTGCTTGAGGCCGTAGACCGGGCGGCGAAGTTCCCAAACGGTGTTGGGAGGGAAAGGGAGGTGCCAGCCCTCGGGACGCTCCATGAAGATGCGCTCATGGAGTTCACCTTGGAGAAATGCCATGGTGACATCCATCGAGTGCAGGATCATGCCGCGCCGGCCGATGAAGTCCAAGAACATGCGGACGACAGGGGGAGTGGCGGTCGGCGAGTAGGTGTCAAGGAAGTCATGGCCGTACCGCTGCGTGAATCCTTTGGCGCAGTAGCGGGCCTTATAGATCGGGTCGTCGCCAGGGAGGAGCTTGACCTGAAATACCCATTTGCCCTTGACCACGTTGTGGTTGAGAGGGCGGGGTACGTCGATGAAGGTGCTGTTGCGGACAAAGGCCTCATTCTCTTTGAGGACTGCCTTGCCCCAATGAGGGTGGTCGGGGCATGTCATAGCTTCGTGATAATCTCCCGGCTCGAAGATGATGGGCGCGCCGGAGAAGACAAGTACCGGGGCGCCGGTCATGCTGAAGGCGACTGCTTGGGTGTTGAAGAAGAGGTGGAGGCGAAGAAATTCACCATGGGAGTCTTCGATGAGGAGGGGAGAGAAAGGAGGAGGAAGGGAGGGTGGTGTTGCAAGTCTGCTGCGCTGCTGAGGGGGGAGGCTGCGACACGGCGACTCTGCGACTCGGCTGCACGGCTGCTTGACCGGGGCCACTGCTGCGGCGGATCCTGACGCTGCGGGTGCGGCGACCGGGGCAGGCACTGGTGCGGCGGCGGGAGCTGCTGCGGCGGGTGCGGAGGTGGAAGCAGAGGGTGCTGGAGCGGGTGCCTTTGCCTGAGGGGAGGGAGGGGCTAAGGGCGGACCAAAGAGGGGATCCATGGACCGAGTATGAGGGCGGTGGCGAAGGACAAGGGGAGAAGACACCTGGGGGGGTGGAGGAGGAGGTGGGGGAGATGGGGGAGGAGGGGGGGAAGGAGGTGGAGGGGGAGGAGGTGGGGAGAAGGGGGAGGATGGAGCGGAAGCGGAGTGAGAGGGAGAGGGGGGGAGTACTGGGTCAAGGATGTCACCTGAGGAAGATGAGGAGGGAGCAGATTCGGGAGGAGGAGGTGCTGGGGGTGGGGGAATAAGAGGGAGAGGGGGGAGGAGGGGGGGGGTGACAGTGTCAGAGGGGATGAAGGGGCGAGGAGGAATGGTGAGTGGGTCAGGTGAGGCAGGAGAGGTGTAGTACGGGGAGGATTCGTCAAAGATGACGTCTCGACTACGAATGAGGCGACCTGAGGGGGGATGAAGGAACAGGTAGTCAGGGGAGGAGGTGTTGTGACCAAGGAATACACAGGGTAGACTCTTGGAGGCGAGCTTCCCTGCTGTGCGTGAGCGGTCGGCTGGGTGTATGAGAACATACGCCCTGGAACCCCAGACGCGCAGGGGGGAGACGTCGGGTTTAGTTGACGTCCACAGCTCGGTGGGGGTGGTGGAGGGGAGGAGAGGGTGGGGATACAGGTTAGTGAGGAGGACGGCGTGGAGAAGAGCATAACCCCAGAGAGAAGGCGGGCAAGAGGCGTGAACGAGAAGATACCTGGCGGTCTTTGTAACTTCTAGAACACGAGCTTCTGCCACGCCATTCTGCTGAGGGGAGTGAGGGAGGGTGTAAGTGTGGTGAATACCATGGGTGAAGAAATAGGAAGAGAGATGGTGATTGAGGAATTCACCGCCGCCATCGGAATGGAGCGGCGAACGGGACGACCGAAGTGGGTGCGCGCCTGCTCGGCCCAGGCTATGATGAAGGCCGGTGCCTCAGCCTTCGTGCGAAGGAGGGAGACCGAGGTGTATCGTGAGCGGTCATTGACCAGGACGAGGAGGTAGCGGTGCCCTTGACGGGTGGGGGAGGGGTTGGGGCCCCAGAGATCCATGTGGACAAGATCCAGGAGCTCTGGGGCGAAGAAGGGTGACTTTTATGTGGAAGCTGCTTGAGCTTGCTCTGGACACAGATGGTGCAAGGGGGGGCGGGGGAGGGAGGGAGTGGAGGGAGAGTGAGGGGAAGGCCATTGAGGAGCCCGGAGGCGACGGCCTTGTGGAGGGTGGCAAAGTTGGGGTGACCTAGGCGGTGGTGGAGGAGGATGGCAGGATGTGTAAGATCACGACAATGGCACTGAGATGGGGGGGGAGCAGGAGGGGCGGGAGGGGAGGTGGGGGGAGGTTGCGGAGGAACGAGAGGAGGGGGGAGGGGAGGGATGGTGGAGGCAGTGTGACAGGCTGACGGACGGGGAGTGTGAAGGGTGTACATGCGAGTGCGAGGACACATGGGAACACGGACGATGAAATGACCCGTGGATGAGTGAAAGAGGTCACAGTGGGTGGCGTGGCCGGGGTAGATTGTTGTGACCCCGGCCCGTTGAAGTGCACCTTGGGAGACAAGGTTAGTGCGAAGGGAGGGGACATGGAAGCCAGTTACTGAACCTGAGGGGAAGAGGGGGCAGGGAAGAGTGGAGGTATGGCGGGAGGTGATCGAGAAAGTAGAATCGGCTCCAATGATGGTGGAGGGGTTGGGGAGGGGGGTGAGGGCACCAGCGTCACGAAGGACTGTGACACTGGCGCCGCTGTCAATGACAAACTCAATGGAGGGAGGGGTGGGGTGAGACACGGAGTACTGGAAGGAGGTTTCATTAATAGACTCGGGATACATTGGAGGAATAGCAGGAGAAGCATGGCTAACATGGTTGATGAAGCCAGGAGAGGGAAATGGGGTAAAGCTAGGAGGTCCGGTGGGGGCCTGCGCAAGAGGAGCAGGAGCAGAGAGGCCGGAGCTCCAGGCGGAGGGAGGGGAGGGTTGCTGCTGAGACTGTTGGTGCTGCTGAGGTTGTTGCAGCTGCTGGAGGAGCTGCTGCAGGAGCTGCTGCAGCTGCTGGATCTGCTGCGGCTGCTGAGTCAGCTGCGGCTGCGGGGACGGAAGGAGGGGCATGACCTGCTGGAGGATCTGTGGAGGGAGGTGCTGTGCGAGGATGTGGTGGAGAGAGGTAGAGGAGGGCTGATAGGCGGGGAGGGTACGAACATCAAAGGGAGTGGGAGGTGGAGTGATAGCGGACCAGCGAGGGGGCGTGCCCGTGTTGAAGGGCCTCGATGAGCCGTCGGAGGAGACTGGCGGAGAAGCTCCGCTTCAGTTTTCAGAATCCATGCGGCTACATAGGCGGAGTCGGGTGGGAAGCTGGCGTGAACCTTATTGAACGCCACGCGACGGGCCTCGTACATGGGTGTGAGACCGTCGAGGAGGCAGCAAACGATGAGGGAGTCGGGAAGGGGAGAGCGACGATCGGCAAGGCGTTTGGAAGTGGTGAGGAGGCGGCGCGTGAAGGAGAGGGCGTTGGGGCAGGAGTCGAGGTTGATGTCGAGGAAGGCGCGGTGGAGCGCTAGGAGAGAGTTGGTGTCCTGGAGGTCATAGGTGGCACATAGCTCTTTCCAGAACTCGGGAGCGGAGGAGGGGGTTATTTCGCGTTTGAGGGAGGAAGGAGCGCATGCAGACAGGATAGCGAGACATTTGCGGTTGGCAATGTTCCAGGCAGAGTGGCGACGACGGTACTCACGAAAGTCATCAGCATACTTAGCCGTGGCGTCCTTGTGCTGCTGGAGAAGTGTGTTGGCAGCGTCGTGCGCAGCTTGCTCTGCGTCATACGCGTGCTGGAGGAGAGTGTACTCCGCAAAGTCCTTGTCATACTGGTGCTGCACGCGAGCCCATCGATCAGGGTCATCGGTGTAGACCAGTGGTGAGGGCTTGGTGGGGGCCGGTCCCGAGGGGGGTGGAGGTGGGGCGGGAGGTGCAGGGGAGACATCAGCAGGACGCTCTGGGGGCTGCCCTGCGTCAGTGCCAAGGAGAATGTCGAGGAGGCAGTAATCGTTGATGATTGCGGATCCGAGGACATTTGTGAGGCTTTGGGCAAAGGTAGCCCAGTTGACAGGGACAGCGCCGTCGATGAGCTCGAGGACGTCGATGGTGGAGATGTCGACGACGAGTGCTTCGGTGGTCATGGTGGAATTGCGGGTGCTGATGCTGTTGCTGCTGGGGATGAGGGGAGAGGGGAGAAGGAGGAGGGAGGGGAGGGGGCGAAATATGGCTGCTGCAGATGAGGCGGTTGCTGCCGCTGGTGGGAGGAGGAAGGGGAGGAGGAAATGAGGGGGGAGATGCGGCTGCTGCGGCTGATGAGGGGAGTGGGGAAGGAGGAGAGGAAGGGAGGGAGGAAGGGGGGAGGAGGAGAGGAAGGGAGGGAGGAAGGGGGGGGGGAGGAGGAAAAAGGCGGGTGCGCGGAGCGCAGCTCTTAAGTCGCCGTAACCTTCGGCGGGCGCCGACGCGAAAGGCGACGGCCAGCGCGGATGGCGACGATCGGCAGCTGTGGGCAGTTGTGTGAGGTACACGCCGGCACAGAGGTCAGCCCGACCGAATCCCGCTTGTTAGGCGGGGGCGCCGGGACTGCACAAAGGGGGAGGAGGCGACGGAGAGCGGAGGAGACGGAGTGTCGAAATATGGCGGGAGGGCCGCGTCAAGATGGTGCAGGAGCGCCGCGTCAAATCGCGGCGGAACGTCACGCCGAAATGCGACCGAGTGCCCGCGTCGAAATGCGGCCGAGCGCCGCGTCGAGATGCGGCCGAGCGCCGCGTCGAGATGCGGCCGAGCGCCACGTCGAAATGCGGCCGAGCGCCGCGTCGAAATGCGGCCGAGCGCCGCGTCGCAATGCGGCAGGAGCGCCGCGTCGAAATGCGGCTAGAGCGCCGCGTCGAAATGCGGCAAGAGCGCCGCGCGAAAACGTAGCGATTAAGGGCGCGAGGTGAGGCGCTTAAGGGCGCGGGGAGGGGCGTTCATGGGCGCGGGGAGGGGCGCTTATGGGCGCGGGGAGGGGCGCTTATGGGCGCGGGAAGGGGCGCTTAAAGGCGCGGAGAGGGGCGCTTAAGGGCGAGGGGAGGGGCGCGGGGAGGGGCGCGTTGGGCGCGAGGTGGCTAGGGATCGAACCACGGAGAGGCGTGAGCCATAAGCTCTGAAACCATGTGAGAAACTCAAGTGATGATTGTATTAAGAAAAGAGTGGGTATACATAGGTGAGGAGTAGGAGGGAGGGGGGGGTTTTGGTTGGGAGGTGACCACGATTATTGGTGACCCCAATAAGTTGAGTTGGCCAACTTATTGGGGGTCCAATGATCCTAGCCAAGATTATTGGTGGGTCCAATAATCTTGGTTGGGATTATTGGGGGTTCCAATAATTGGGAGCCCAACCAATTTGGGAACCCAACAAGGTTGGGAACCCAACCCCCAACTTGGGTGTATACACCCTAGTGGGGTGCTTATAAGTACCTAAGACAATGAAACGATGTAGGCTAATAGAATGAAGGGAGAATATTCTAACACTAAGTGCTGGCAGGCCAACCCCACATAGAGCTCGACTAGCTTAACCACGCTTGGCGATTGGCCAATGGAACCAAGTTGGCTCAAAGCCAACCAAACCTGTTGAATACTTGGTCAGCACCAACCTAGTTTATTGGCTAAGAATCCGTTAGGTAGTTGGGTGTCTTTTTCTCTAGGGCTCTATTAAATGTGATATACCACTTGTTGTTCTATAGAGGCACTTCGATCTTCTTTTTCACGTATGCTACCATGTACAAGATGTGTTCAACAACGAATGCCATCAGGCGCATCTACACTGGTCCACTTTCCTACTAAACTCCACAATACGCAGAAAACAGAATTAAAGCAAAAAAAGGCAACGTGCGCACCTCGAGACGGAAGCGCAAGCCGCGTTGGCCGACACGATTGATGCATTGAGGGCCGCATGCACACGATGGGCCACACTCCATCACAATGCCCCGTGCCTTGATCAACCTGAAGCACATCGCACGGTGCAAAGCCAAAAAGCAGGGAACGTCTGCCCGCTCCATCATTCAACACGCGCACATGAGAAAAGTGTCTAGACATAAAAGGAAAGTCGGGATTGCCCTCGACCTTGGAATACCGCAAAACTAGACTGAAGTGACCTGCCGGGTTCGATCGGCATAAAGGTGAGCCGGGTGCAAAGCTTGAATGTGACCCCTGGAGGGGCCGAATGACTACAAGGGGAGGTGGGGGGTATGGGGCTCGAGGGCCAATCTCGCAAACTTGGAAGGCCGGCCCAGCTCAGGCCATCCCCGGCCTGTCTCTTGCTCATCTCTATCCCACGTACAAAGCTCTTGGGAGGTGATTCTGTCCCCCGCCACGTCTTCAACACTTCATGTTACTCTGGTGAGGGTATTTCCATTCCAAGCCATTCTTGCAGTGCTCGATCACCCCACCTTGACCATCGGCAACTAGGGCCTCAACCCCTTGGGAGCCCGTGTGCTCTCCCCCACAGCACCAAGTCACTCGTCCAGCCCTCATCAGTTCTCTTAGCCACGAAAGGATTGCATTGCCCTGCGGCTCTTGGACCCTTTCATTAGGCTTGAGCAAAATACCCGCGCGGGTCGGGTACCCGGACCCGGATCCGCTTTTTGGGCGGGTCGGGTATCCGGATTCCGGAATATTACCCAGCGGGTCGGGTCCGGGTTACCTGGGCGGGCGGGTATTTGATACCCGTTACCCGAAACGTTACCCGACGTGTCGGGTAACGGGTACCCGACCCGGTTGGGTAATTAATACCCGAGGTTGGGTATCACACCTAGACATGGGTGTAAGTCGTGCTGTGTTTTAGGTTTTGCGGCAAAACGGTTTGGGAGGTGAGGGGGGACGAGTGGAGCATTTGTGAGGAGAAGTTGGAGTTTGTAGATGGGGAGGAGTTGAGTGCGGTGAAAGGGAGGGAGTTGGGTGGGAGTTGGAGAGAAGGTTGGAGTTTGTAGATGGGGAGGAGTTCAGTGCGGTGAAAGGGAGGGAGTCTGGTTTGAAATGTTGGAGTTTGTAGACAGGGAGGAGTTCAGTGCGGTGAAAGGGAGGGAGTTGGGTGGTCAAAATTCGACCCCCCAGAAGCGACTCATTTGGGAGTCGCGTTTTCAGAAACCCTAGCTAGCCTAGCCCGTTTTAGGAGGCCCACTAGTAGGTGGCGGGTAGTAATACCCGCTTTTCACGATAACCGGGTCGGGTATACCCGGACCCGCTAGGCGGGCGTTGTATTACCCGTCTCCTAATGCCGGGTCCGGGTAAGGGTCGTGGGCATATTACCCGACCCGGACCCGACCCGAAAATACCCGACCCAAGGTCGGGTATTGCAAAGCCAGGTCGAGTCGGGTAATTACCCGGTTTTGCTCAACCCTACCTTTCATCATGGCAGGCACTAACCTTGTTCACCTTGTTTTCTCTGCCACAGTGAACAAGTATTGCCCTCAGTACTTTTGGGCAAAATGTTTTACGGCTTATTGGTCCTCAACAACTTAGCTTCATTAGGCGCCATTGTTCTTGCGGACTAGGGTGCAAAAGCGCTTGGGCAGCCCACAATTTTTATTTTTGCGACAGTTCGTGACGTGGCGAATCTTAACAGAAGGTTCGCTCTATCGCGAACTTGACATTGGGCAAACAATTCAGCTCCCAACCCCAAGATCTCCCCTAACTGCACCCCATCTGACTCCATCTACCAAACCCAACCCCTCCCCTCTACACCCTCTACTCACAAGAGGGAGGTCATAATCCTACTATGCTGCTGCAACCCTAACTCTCTCACGTAGGCACGTATTTTCCTTCTGAAACTCTCTAACCTAGCAAGCATGCCTAGCGAAGAAGCTCTTTAAGTCTGCTGCGGCAATGTCGATCGCTCCTACCACTCCCTCCCGCAAGCTGTGGCACCAACAGAAGAGCCTCTGGTGAGGCATCTAGCTCAACTCGACGATGTATTGCGAGGATAGGCTCCATGATGTATTTACGCATTTCAAAATCCCTATCCGCGAACCCCGCAAGACGCAATTCTGTGTTCAAGCATCGCGCTTTAGAGTTCAGTGGCTCGGCTGCCCACTGCGCGAACCGTATATTTTCCCTCTGCCAGTACTTCTTCCAAACGCTTGCCCAAACCCTCCCCAAGCGTTAAGCGTTTTTCACAACTTAGCTTGCGGCATGCGGCCCTGTTCTAGCGCAAGAAACAACTCGCTCCCGCCTGTGCTGAGAGGCGGGGGTGAATAAGCGGCTTGGAGAAAACAACAGTGCTGAGCATTTACGAGTCTCATCAAGTGTCATACCTCCCCCCTTGCACATAAGAAAAGCCGTCCTTGTTCCTCTTGGCGCATGCGCACTTGCTCTCATTGGTGCACGCCCCCTTGCAGTGGCACGAGTGCGCCCCTCCGTGCAGCGTGAGCCCCTCCGGCATGATGTTCGCCATGACGTACTGGAAGGCTGGGTGCGCCACCAGCATGGAACGAGGAATGTTGCATGGAAATGTGAGGGAGGGGCAGCGGGCGGGGAGGAAAGGGGGGGAAGAGGGGGGGGGATGGAGGACGCCATGCATAGAGGCTGGTGACGCACGAGTCACGACCATGCCCAGCTCGGCTGCGGTGAGCGTGGAGGGCGCAGAGGAAACAGGTGCAGTTGTGACGAACGTTTTCAAGTGTGGAAAAGGGCGACCTTGTTTGCACCTACCGGGGGGCATGGTGGGCGGCTTGTCAATGCAATTGGTGACCACGACAGGCACTCGCTCCATGCCCTTTGAGAGGTCCGCGCACACAACACTGCCACATATGCATCCAAGGACACGTCAGGGACTTGATGCGGATAGGGAGTGCACAAAGCCACAAGAAACGATAAAACCTCGAGTCGAACACGTCCATGAACTTCTTCACACCCTGAGCTGAGTATCCCAGATTAGACATGGGCTTCCGAGCCTGCTTCAGCTTGGTATTTTTTTGTGACCGGCTTGGCTCGAGGCAAGCCGGCCCGAGCCAATCGATGCATGAAGTTCGGATTTGGCCACAAGGAACATTTCGTTTTCGAGCCAGGCCCCGGCTCCATCCTGTTTGGGCAAGCCGGGCCGGCAAAATTTCGTGACCAGCTCGACATGGCACGAGCCGGCTCGGCTCAACTAGGCCCCGGCTCAATCTCGGCTCAGGCCAGCTCGGCCATAAGCTCATATCTATCCCAGATAATTCAAGCACAACAGGCTACAGCGCCATGAACCCAAGTGCTTGACCTTGAACGAGTTGAGCTTGAATTAATGAGAACGATAATTTGTTCTTCTACACTGACTGTGCTATGACTGCCCCAAAGGCGGTGTGTTTCTCACTCGGATGCTTTGTTGGCGCTCGTTGGAATCTGCCCTCGCATGAAGCGAACCTGCGGCAAGTGGAAGCAAGGCCAGTGCAGGCGCATTGAGACTACAATCCACTGGTCTGAATTTTTAACACAGCGAAAGGAATCCAAGGATGCATGATGTCTCGATGATGTATGCAATCATTCACAGGCATGAGAGATATTTCAACCAGCAATGAGGGGGCAGAGCAGAGGAATCGTATTCCAAGAGGAAAGGGCGGAAAGGGTGGCTCGGGCGTATTAAACTAGGAGGTAAAAAGAGAAAACAGATCACTAAAAATGGAGTCCTGAACGAGCCAGGAGCAGGCCACTCCTGGCACACCACAGTAACATACAGACGACGGACCTTAACAATCAGAGACATTCCTCCTTAGTTGGCTGAATTAAGGGTAATGAACAGGAAGCTAGGGTGATGTACCGGAAGCTAGGGTGATGTACAGGAAGCTAGGGTGATGTACCGGAAGCTAGGGTGATGTACAGCAAGCTAGGGTGATGCACAGGAAGCTAGGGTGATGTACAGGAAGCTAGGGTGATGCACAGGAAGCTAGGGTGATGCACAGGAAGCTAGGGTGATGTACAGGAAGCTAGGGTGATGCAAAGGAAGCTAGCGTGATGTACAGGAAGCTAGGGTGATGTACAGGAAGCTAGGGTGATATACAGGAAGCTAGGGTGATGTACAGGAAGCTAGGGTGATGTACAGGAAGCTAGGGTGATGTACAGGAAGCTAGGGGGATGTACAGGAAGCTAGGGTGATGTACAGGAAGCTAGGGTGATGTACAGGAAGCTAGGGTGATGCGCAGGAAGCTAGGGTGATGCACAGGAAGCTAGGGCGATGCACAGGAAGCTAGGGTGATGCACAGGAAGCTAGGGTAATGTACAGGAAGCTAGGGTGATGTACAGGAAGCTAGGGGGATGTACAGGAAGCTAGGGTGATGCACAGGAAGCTAGGGTGATGCACAGGAAGCTAGGGTGATGGACAGGAAGCTAGGGTGATGCACAGGAAGCTAGGGTGATGTACAGGAAGCTACAGTGATGCACAAGAAGCTAGGGTGATGTACAGGAAGCTAGGGTGATGTCCAGGAAGCTAGGGTGATCTACAGGAAGCTAGGGTGATGTACAGGAAGCTAGGGTGATGTACAGGAAGCTAGGGGGATGTACAGGAAGCTAGGGTGATGTACAGGAAGCTAGGGTGATGTACAGGAAGCTAGGGGGATGTACAGGAAGCTAGGGGGATGTACAGGAAGCTAGGGTGATGTACAGGAAACTAGGGTGATGGACAGGAAGCTACGGTGATGCACAAGAAGCTAGGGTGATGCACAGGAAGCTAGGGTGATGCACAGGAAGCTAGGGTGATGCACAGGAAGCTAGGGTGATGCACAGGAAGCTAGGGTGATGTACAGGAAGCTAGGGTGATGCACAGGAAGCTAGGGTGATGGACCGGAAGCTAGGGTGATGCACAGGAAGCTTGGGTGATGCACAGGAAGCTAGGGTGATGGACAGGAAGCTAGGGTGATGCACAGGAAGCTAGGGTGATGTACAGGAAACTAGGGTGATGCACAAGAAGCTAGGGTGATGCACAGGAAGCTAGGGTGATGCACAGGAAGCTAGGGTGATGCACAGGAAGCTAGGGTGATGCACAGGAAGCTAGGGCGATGCACAGGAAGCTAGGGTGATGCACAGGAAGCTAGGATGATGCACAGGAAGCTAGGGTGATGCACAGGAAGCTAGGGTGATGTACAGGAAGCTAGGGTGATGCACAAGAAGCTAGGGTGATGCACAGGAAGCTACGGTGATGTACAGGAAGCTAGGGTGATGTACAGGAAGCTAGGGTGATGCACAGGAAGCTAGGGTGATGGACAGGAAGCTAGGGTGATGCACAGGAAGCTAGGGTGATGCACAGGAAGCTTGGGTGATGCACAGGAAGCTAGGGTGATGCACAGGAAGCTAGGGTAATGCACAGGAAGCTTGGGTGATGCACAGGAAGCTAGGGTGATGGACAGGAAGCTAGGGTGATGCACAGGAAGCTAGGGTGATGTAAAAGAAACTAGGGTGATGCACAGGAAGCTAGGGTGATGGACAGGAAGCTAGGGTGATGCACAGGAAGCTAGGGTGATGTACAGGAAACTAGGGTGATGCACAAGAAGCTAGGGTGATGCACAGAAAGCTAGGGTGATGTACAGGAAGCTAGGGTGATGTACAGGAAGCTAGGGTGATGTACAGGAAGCTAGGGTGATGTACAGGAAGCTAGGGTGATGTACAGGAAGCTAGGGTGATGCACAGGAAGCTACGGTGATGTACAGGAAGCTAGGGTGATGTACAGGAAGCTACGGTGATGGACAGGAAGCTATGGTGATGCACAAGAAGCTAGGGTGATGTACAGGAAGCTCGGGTGATGTACAGGAAGCTAGGGTGATGTACAGGAAGCTAGGGTGATGTACAGGAAGCTAGGGTGATGTACAGGAAGCTAGGGTGATGTACAGGAAGCTAGGGTGATGCACAGGAAGCTAGGGTAATGCACAGGAAGCTAGGGCGATGCACACGAAGCTAGGGTGATGCACAGGAAGCTAGGGTGATGTACCGGAAGCTAGGGTGATGCACAGGAAGCTAGGGTGAAGTACAGGAAGCTAGGGTGATGCACAAGAAGCTAGGGTGATGCACAGGAAGCTTGGGTGATGCACAGGAAGCTAGGGTGATGCACAGGAAGCTAGGGTGATGCACAGGAAGCTTGGGTGATGCACAGGAAGCTAGGGTGATGGACAGGAAGCTAGGGTGATGCACAGGAAGCTAGGGTGATGTACAGGAAACTAGGGTGATGCACAGGAATCTAGGGTGATGGACAGGAAGGTAGGGTGATGCACAGGAAGCTAGGGTGATGTACAGGAAACTAGGGTGATGCACAAGAAGCTAGGGTGCTGCACAGAAAGCTAGGGTGATGTACAGGAAGCTAGGGTGATGTACAGGAAGCTAGGGTGATGTACAGGAAGCTAGGGTGATGTACAGGAAGCTAGGGTGATGTACAGGAAGCTAGGGTGATGCACAGGAAGCTAGGGTGATGTACAGGAAGCTAGGGTGATGTACAGGAAGCTAGGGTGATGTACAGGAAGCTAGGGTGATGCACAGGAAGCTACGGTGATGTACAGGAAGCTAGGGTGATGTACAGGAAGCTAGGGTGATGTACAGGAAGCTAGGGTGATGCACAGGAAGCTAGGGTAATGCACAGGAAGCTAGGGCGATGCACACGAAGCTAGGGTGATGCACAGGAAGCTAGGGTGATGTACCGGAAGCTAGGGTGATGCACAGGAAGCTAGGGTGAAGTACAGGAAGCTAGGGTGATGCACAAGAAGCTAGGGTGATGCACAGGAAGCTTGGGTGATGCACAGGAAGCTAGGGTGATGCACAGGAAGCTAGGGTGATGCACAGGAAGCTTGGGTGATGCACAGGAAGCTAGGGTGATGGACAGGAAGCTAGGGTGATGCACAGGAAGCTAGGGTGATGTACAGGAAACTAGGGTGATGCACAGGAATCTAGGGTGATGGACAGGAAGGTAGGGTGATGCACAGGAAGCTAGGGTGATGTACAGGAAACTAGGGTGATGCACAAGAAGCTAGGGTGCTGCACAGAAAGCTAGGGTGATGTACAGGAAGCTAGGGTGATGTACAGGAAGCTAGGGTGATGTACAGGAAGCTAGGGTGATGTACAGGAAGCTAGGGTGATGTACAGGAAGCTAGGGTGATGCACAGGAAGCTACGGTGATGTACAGGAAGCTAGGGTGATGTACAGGAAGCTAGGGTGATGTACAGGAAGCTAGGGTGATGCACAGGAAGCTAGGGTAATGCACAGGAAGCTAGGGCGATGCACACGAAGCTAGGGTGATGCACAGGAAGCTTGGGTGATGCACAGGAAGCTAGGGTGATGGACAGGAAGCTTGGGTGATGCACAGGAAGCTAGGGTGATGGACAGGAAGCTAGGGTGATGCACAGGAAGCTAGGGTGATGTACAGGAAACTAGGGTGATGCACAGGAAGCTAGGGTGATGGACAGGAAGGTAGGGTGATGCACAGGAAGCTAGGGTGATGTACAGGAAACTAGGGTGATGCACAAGAAGCTAGGGTGCTGCACAGAAAGCTAGGGTGATGTACAGGAAGCTAGGGTGATGTACAGGAAGCTAGGGTGATGTACAGGAAGCTAGGGTGATGTACAGGAAGCTAGGGTGATGTACAGGAAGCTAGGGTGATGCACAGGAAGCGACGGTGATGTACAGGAAGCTAGGGTGATGTACAGGAAGCTAGGGCGATGCACACGAAGCTAGGGTGATGGACAGGAAGCTAGGGTGATGCACAGGAAGCTAGGGTGATGTACAGGAAACTAGGGTGATGCACAAGAAGCTAGGGTGATGCACAGAAAGCTAGGGTGATGTACAGGAAGCTAGGGTGATGTACAGGAAGCTAGGGTGATGTACAGGAAGCTAGGGTGATGTACAGGAAGCTAGGGTGATGTACAGGAAGCTAGGGTGATGCACAGGAAGCTACGGTGATGTACAGGAAGCTAGGGTGATGTACAGGAAGCTACGGTGATGGACAGGAAGCTACGGTGATGCACAAGAAGCTAGGGTGATGTACAGGAAGCTCGGGTGATGTACAGGAAGCTAGGGTGATGTACAGGAAGCTAGGGTGATGTACAGGAAGCTAGGGTGATGTACAGGAAGCTAGGGTGATGTACAGGAAGCTAGGGTGATGCACAGGAAGCTAGGGTAATGCACAGGAAGCTAGGGCGATGCACACGAAGCTAGGGTGATGCACAGGAAGCTAGGGTGATGTACCGGAAGCTAGGGTGATGCACAGGAAGCTAGGGTGAAGTACAGGAAGCTAGGGTGATGCACAAGAAGCTAGGGTGATGCACAGGAAGCTTGGGTGATGCACAGGAAGCTAGGGTGATGCACAGGAAGCTAGGGTGATGCACAGGAAGCTTGGGTGATGCACAGGAAGCTAGGGTGATGGACAGGAAGCTAGGGTGATGCACAGGAAG